GGAAAACATGGTCAAACAACTTCTATACAGCGAAAGAAGACTGCCACCACACAAAAGGCCACACCATCTTGGTCTTCATATCTTTGATCATACTTTATTGAGTTGCACACGGCAGACATGCAGCATTACGGCCTCCAGCTCTTGTCGACCGAGCGCTATCTGTTGCATAGAATGAGGTGTAGAATAGCCAACGGAGCGATGGGAGAGTGTGTTCTCCTGAGGTGGGGGCAAGTGACCGAGGAGTCGACGATAGCTGGCAAAAAGGTTAAGCCAGGTCAAAACAGGGGCTGGAAGACTGCGAAGATGATTACGACAAGCAGCTGCAAATAAAAAATGGATTGAGGGAAGGTTGCGTTAACCGTTATATTCTCCCAAATTAGCATCTTAAATCATAGGAATAGGTTATCAGTTTTATAACCTCAAAAGGCTAGTTTCAATTATTCTAATATTTCGGGGGCTTTTTGGGCTGCGACTGAAACGTGAACTCAAACAAGGAGTTTTGTTTTGGACCTAAGCCAACAGAGCCTTAAGATTAAATCTGATTAGACACAACTTATAAATACGGAAAAACAATACACTTCTTGAACTTTTTTAAGATATTGCTTTGATCTCTTTACTCATGTATATGGGCAGTATCGTTACCTAGAGCATACATTGGCCTGAAGAATAAAGCACTGCGACAATAAAAATGCATGATCTTTTGTAGATTGTCTCAAATAATATAATGGAGGCTAATGAGGCCGGCGCAAGTAACATTTAGCAGTGAAACTAATTTAATATCTTAAAATTGAAGTGAATATTTGAGAAATTAAGATGGATTTAAGTTGGCTTATGAGGATGACTTCTTGGTTTTCATATTCAATCCCACAATAATAAATATGAGCATAGTATTTGAGACTAGATATCTGCAAAATGACGGACTCAGAAGCCAAATCTCAGTTTCCAACGTATTCTAAGAGCTTGATAAATAGGAATAGTGATTCATGGAGTACCAAGAGTTACCGCTTCCCTGTGAACCACTGACATCCGTGGATGTGAACCAAAATAGGAGCCTACTGCCACGATACGCACTATCCGGCTTCGAATCCCACCTGTGGTGCTGCTGAGACCCTGACAAGATCAACATTTCAGCCCAACAGAGATGAGAAAACCCTTGTGAGATAAGGCAAAGTGAAATTTAATGGCATCTTGAGGATTACTTATATAATTGTGGGGAAAACTCCACTATCCACCCTCAAATCACAACACAGCTAAAGTTGACTAAGTCCTTATTTAAGAATTACTCCTACTCAAATATACACAAGCAATATAAGAATATAAGTAGTTAATAATTAAAACATTTCAAAAAGGACCGAATACACATCACATATAAAGAAACAATGTAACTCGCTAGCTAGTGGATGAACTTGAAATCTCTCACTCATTTGTTAGGATAGTAGCAAGACAGAAATCTGCACTATATTGGCTGAAATGTATATCGAGTGAAATATTGTGACATGACTTTCCATTTCGAAGGAAAAGTTAGTTGGAAGGAATTCGTGGTGTGGTTTTACCGGAAACCGCAGGAGTATTACCGCGTAGGGAAGACTGTTGTATTGTGCGAAGAAGCAACCCAATGAAACTGTGCTAGGCTCTCGTCTCTACTGTGACAGACATCAACAGAGCAAAAATCCATACCTTACGAAAAAGAGTAAAAATATACTAAACCAATAAAAAAGGTGGCAGGCTGTAGCCTGCGACTAGGGTTGCAGCTGGCTACCTTTTATCTGTCACATTACAGACGAAAGCTTGGCACAGTTTCATTGGGGTCGCAGCACGGTGAGCCGAGGACTGCTTCGACACTACAACAGCCTCCCCTAGTAGCACTCCTTTCGTTTCTGGTGAAACCACATCACGAATTCCTTCCAACTCACTTTTCCTTATTAAAGTAAAGTCATGTCA